TGAGGAGCACCATTGCAAAGTTCAGCGATTTTATGCGTATAATCCATAATACAATCACTTTCGGATGGTTCACATCTAAATTGTTAATCGTATTAGAAGAAAATATGTTTGTTGAACGAGAGTTACCGTTGTTGGTCTTGTTTATTATTTCCCGACTTCTTTGTGCCATAATGTGACCAACCGATAAGAATAAATTCATTCGAATTACAACTAATATCCATATGATTAGCGAATTCTTTTTGTGTACATTGTGATTTCGAATGCCATTGATCAGATATTAACGAAGAGGATAGGATGGATAAAACTGGAAAGAAAATAAGATCAATAGAAAAGAAGCTAAGATGATTTTCTTAAAACTCTTACCAAGAAGAATAAATAAGACGAATATCGTCGACATTTTCATATTATTCTATATACAATGATATGTTATTGTTCTGAGGATTTGGTGATAAATAAGAAGAACATATTTTGTATCGATCTAAAACAGACGGAGGCAATAATAGCACATCTTTATATATGTGTTTAACCTTAGATCAGGAATGCCGATGCCGCGATACTCATTCTTCTATCTTTTTTTGACACATGTCAAAGAGAAACAGAAGAAGAGAGAATCGCATTGGCATTCATCCGATCGAATTTATTCAATGTCAATATTAGACTATCTTTGTTGCCGCATATACAAATAGAATAAAACAAATGAATGAATTGATCATATTCTGGTATATCGATATATGTCTTGTCGTCACACGTGGGTGCGACTTCTATTTGTTTATGCGTGCGTACTCGCTGTATCTCCTTCGTCTTCTCGCCGGTGTTAATTTATGCTAATAGGTCATCGTTCAGCAATCAGACACACACGATGTTGTCCTATATGCAAATCAATATCAGGTGTAAGACGACGACACGCCGTGCATTTAGAAGATTCGATAGGGAACAATAAACAACATGCTGCTGAAATTGAACAGATAAGAGAAAGGAAAAAAACAAAGCTCATTATGTGCACGGCTGTTCAACAGAAATAAACATTGGAATGAATGGTGTCTATGAATAGAGAAGATAGAGAGAGAGGGAGAGAAAAGAAAAACGACGAATGAGTGGTCAAAAGGGATTCACTTTTAATTAGCATTCCATCGACCGATGACTGACCGCCTACAGGTAGGCTTTATTTAAAAAAGAATAGGGAACAAGAAAAAGCGAGAGAGAGAGGAGAGAATAACAAAAAGAATGTAGTCTATGCAACGACATGCCTTACG